GACGACATGCGGCTAAACATGTCATCACTGGTCAGATCAGGGACACTAATTTTAGTGACCCAGCGTTTGTCTCCTTGAGGCCCCCTGCTTGTCATGAACCATCGCTTCACTTTCTGTCTCTCATCTGATCTGCTTTCATCAGGACACCAGGAGGACGCTTTTTGTCCCGCCTACTGGACCGGACCTCTTCTCTCACCTGTCTGGGCTGCGGTGAGGCTGTGAGGAAGAAGGACGATGACACCATTGTCTGTAACGTCCGGCGGTGTTCAGGTAGCAAACAGCAGCCGTGGTCTTATTGGTCCGTTAAAACAGGTTAGAACCCCAGAAGAGGCCCGACCCAGAGGATCCGTCATTGGATCAATATGAGCCCAGGTTCTTCAGAACCTGAAAACAAACACTGTCGGTTTTTCTACTGTGAGCTGGTTTAGTTTCCTCCTCCAGTTGGGTCGGTTCCGTTCTTCTAGTTCCTCGCTCTGGTGACATCATCAGCACCAAACTATTATGATGGTGTCACCAGACACGCAGCTGGCAGCGGGGGTGGGGTGTTAGACCAGCTTTTTTAGCCAATCATCTGTTAGACCAGATAGTCTATGTATTTTTTTTACATTCTATGATTGGATATTTGGCTGCAGCCCAGCAGATATGGAAAAACCTGCCCTTCAAGCTTCTTGGCTCATAAAAGAAGAAAAATACATGTTTAGCTGGATGCGGTGCGGACGCCGGACAATGCAATGAAAATCCAGACTGTCTAGCCTAAAGCAGGACATCTGGCCAACCTAGCTGCAGCTCAGGTAGCCTGAGGGGCGACAGCAGAGGGAGAGAGAGAGAGGGAGGCTGAAAAGGCGCTAAATTTAGCGACAAAGGCGCTAAGTTTGCAACCCTGCATTCCAGGGCGTCCATGTTGAACGATCAAACCTAGCAAACAAACGAAGCGTTATGATCCAGGTGGATTTTCTGGGTACTCAGAAGAGACCAGCATCCAGCTTAACTCAGACAGCGACGGTAACTCCACATAGGCTGAAAAAAGTTAAAACTTTAAAAAAGTAGGAGCGACGAGCAGAAGAGGCTGCAGTTCTGTGTGTTGGCCACAGGTGGCAGCATCGTCAGGTTAATCTGTGATGCCTCTTAAACAATTATTACACTTTAATGCCTCGTGTTCCCTAAAAAACATAGAAATATAGATTATAGATCCGATCTGCTGCAGTCTGACTTGCTCTCTGTTCCACGTTGCAGGCGTGTTCTGTCGGCCATGTTTCCTCAGCCTGGGGAACGTCTGCATCGTCTGCACGCGACCTCTGACCTTCCTGGAAGACGTGGAGGAGGAGCTGTGAGTTTCCCTCAGAACCAGAAACCCAACAGAGGCTCTGATCCGCTCTGGACGTCATGTGACCCAAAAGCAGATCCTTCTGGATGCAGAACTTAAAGGACCTGCATGTTTCAGACGGGTTCCAGCTGAACACATGGGAAAAGTCCAGAACCAAAGATTCAGAACCGTCTGATCGGGCTCTGGAGCCACGGCTGGGTCAGAACTTCAGGTTCTGAAAGAACTTCTTCTTCTTGTTCCTCTCAGAGACTCCAGTGACGATGAGCAGCTGGATCTTTGCTCCGCCGCCCAGAACCCGCCCCCCCTGGCTGACCAGGACCGTAAGGAACCTTCTGGCAGCAGCGACCCGATGGTACCGAGCGATCGCAGCAGGGTTGGTAGCTCTCGCTCTGACTCTGGGCTCAGGTAGAACTCCAACATCTTTAAGGTTCTTCTGTTCTGGAGGCGTTTAAAGATCTGAACATCTGGTTTCCCACCCTTTCTGCTGTCAGTGAAGCAAACGTGACCCAAAGGAGCCAGACCAGCTCCTCTAGTTCTGACAGCGGCGCCTCCTTTCACTCCGCCCTCTCAGAGCAAACCTTCTACCAGCAGGAGATGGAGCTGGCTGAGGTCTGCGCTCACACTGCAGATCATCATGGCGACCAGCAGGCGGCTCCAGGACCTTCCAGGACCTTCCATGACCTACTGAAATGTCTGAAGCTGAAAACAGTTTGTCCCTGATGATAATAAAATCAGTTAAACCTTGATTGAAGCTCCATGTCTCTAGAACCTGTAGAGGAACCTGGTTTCCCAAACGTCCTCAGAGTTCCTCAGGCCGCCGACGGCGACCCAGATAAGTTCACGTTGCTGTCATGCATTAAGTCTGGTTTATGCTCAGAAACCAGGAGGTCTGCATGCGTGTCGCAGTTAAAGCATATATGCCCCCCCCTCCACAGACACGTCAAACCGACACACAGACACCCACAATCCTAGCTAGTTCTTGACTGTTCCTCTGGCGTTGTGGCGTGGAATAACAGTGCAGACCACGCTTCAAAAGTGGGCATAAAATCAAAATATCTGCGTCATACCTGCGACAAGCTAACTGTGACACACTGCTGCGAGGATAACCAGCCCTTCATTACCGGCTGAGGGGCAGATTCAGAACCTCTGATTAGAGAACAGTTCATCAGGAGGATCTGGGGAAATGTCTGGGTTTTCCTCCAGGATGGAGAATCGTTTCTAAAACCTGATCCACACTGTAAAAAATGTAAATCTAAGTCATTTTTATCTTCAAATAAATGCGTTTTTTCTTGAAGTGAGGAAGAATTTAGACACTTTGCAGATGGAACAAGATGATTTAAGTGTAAAAGTTTGGGCTCTCTGGTTCTGTGTTCCTAACCTCTGGATGTGTGACAGCAGGCATTACAAACAACACAGAACATCTGGAAAAGTGAAGAAAGATGAACTCTGAGGAGTTCAGTCACGCTCTGCAGAGAGAGGAGGAGTTCTGATCCCAGTGTTTGAGCCAACAGCTGAAAACGGGCCCAGGTTTCTTCCTTCGGTCTGAGCTGCACCAGACCATGGGTCTCTGAGAAGAACCTGGAGCCAGCAGCGGTGGTGCTGACATGTGAGGAAGAAGTTCTGATGACTCCGTACCCCTGAGGCGCTGGAGTCTGTGAAGTCATCCCTTTTTATCTGATGTTTCCTGCTTTGCTTTGGAAACAAGAAATCTGATCAGATGAGCAGAAAACCTCTGATGGTTGTCCTTCTGCAGCTCCATGAGGACTCCATGAAGGTCAGGACTCCATGAAGGTCAGGACTCTATGAAGGTCAGGACTCCAGAAAGTCCAGGATTCCATGTAGGTCAGGACTCCAGGAAGTCCAGAACTCCATGAGGTCGGGATTCCAGGAAGTCCAGGACTCCATGAGGTCAGGTCTCCATGAGATCTGGGAGTCCATCAAGGTCAGGTCTCCATGAAGTCTGGGACTTCATGAAGGTCAGGACTCCAGGAAGTCCAGGATTCCATGAAAGTCAGGACTCAAGGAAATCTGGGACTCCATGAAGGTCAAGGCTCCAGGAAGTCCGGGACTCCATGAAAGTCAGGACTCCAGGAAGTCCAGGACTCCAGGAAGTCCAGGAGTCCATGAAGGTCAGGACTCCATGAAGTCCAGAACTCCATGAGGTCGGGATTCCAGGAAGTCCAGGAGTCCATGAAGTCCATGCTGCTGTCCTGCGTGTTTGGGTTCTTCTCTACCTGAACCAGTATAGATCTGCTGCAGCAGCAGGACTCCTCGGTCCAGGGTCGGCTGCATCAGAGCTTCAGGAGATGCAGCGTTCCTCCAGGATGAAGCACTGCTGCGCCATCACAGATCCTTCCTCCCAGCAGCTTTAGAAGCACCACTGCTCCCAGGAAGCTCCGTTCATTCTTTACATCTCTGCTGTTTTATGTTTTCCTGCAGAATTATTCATGTGCTTTATGCACATTTCTTTTTCATATCAGTTTGATATCTCATTTAATCTGGATATCCAGATTTTTATACTCTACAACAAACTGTATATAAATAAATCAATTCTCTCTCTGTTCTTTTTGTCACTCATTAAAAAAAGGATTATTCTGTTCAGAGTTTAATCCTTCAGCTGAATCATGTCTGATACTTTTATAACAAACATCACTTTATTATAAACTCTATCTGCTGATCCTTCCCATCCGCTACCAGCCTTATCAACAAGTTCCTGGGGGCCCCATAAAACTCTGTTTACATGTATGGTTAATACAACTATTCCTTATTTGTTCACATTAATTATGTTTTTGATAAAAATCCTTTGGCTAAAATGCCAAAGGATTGATAAAGCTTCTAGTTAGAGTGGCTCAGGTTATCCTGATCTATCTCTATAGTTCTGCTGCTGTAGGCTTAGACTGCTGGAGGACATAGGGACCCCTTTTTCATCATTCTGCTTCATTCTATCTCTATTCTCCCACTCTGCAGAATCTGTTAGTTCAATCTCTAACGTTCTGCTCTCTCTGCTTTTTCTCATAGTAGCTTCATCTGGTCTGTTCCTGTTTGGCTGTGACTCCATCCTGGAGAGAAATATCAGCTGTGCTGCTGCCATCAACACCTTTGTTTCTAGATGTTGGAGCTTGGCCTGTTTTCCAGTGTAGTCCTGTTTCTCTGACTGTGACTAACTGGATGTGCTCTCTTCATCCTCTGACATGGGAGCTGGCTCGGAGCTCGTCTGCCTGGCTATGTGTTTCCTGGACGGGGCCGCCTGTGGAGCTGGTTGACAGTTGCCTTTTGTATCTATGCTTCTTTTTCTATGTCTGCTTCTGTCTCCTTGAACCCCAGTGGGCCTCAGCAGATGGCCGCTCACACTGAGCCTGGTTCTGCTGGAGGTTTCTTCCTGTTCAAAGGGAGTTTTTCCTCTCCACTGTCGCTACAAGCATGCTTAGTGTGAGGGATTGCTGAAGAGTCAATGAGTCGATGCAATCAGCTGGTTTTCCTTAGATAGAAAACTTTGAATCAATCTGACTGGATGATCTGGTGAACTGGAAAGTGACCTGAGATGACATGATGTGAATTGGAGCTATAGAAATAAACTGAATAGAATTGAACTACAACACGGTGGCGGCAGCATCATGCTTTGTGATAGAGGTGATGGTGAAGAGGAATGGAGTCAGGTCAGTTAAGCTGAGACCTTGTAGCAGGAGAACAGTGGAGGCGTTGGATGGTCTAGTCAAAGTACGGATCTAAATTCCTAAAAACTGATGTAAATTTATATTCTTTCAGAGAAGCTTTGAGTTGATCTGGAATCCAAACAGAATCTCAGGGGGTGAAAACTTTTCACTGCACAGATCAGAACAGAGCGAGCCTTAAAGCAGACTGGTCTGCTCCCAGTTTGGGTGCGTCTGTGGAGCAGCTGGGGCGTTTGTCCTGAGTGGGAGGAGGACCGAAACAGGAAGCTGCTGCAGCTGCTGCTCTTCTCTCGAGGATATTTTCTCGCCTTTTCTCCGCTGATCGGACCTGTGCAGATGGCGATCAAGGTAAGAGGCTCCAGCCGGGCTGCAGACCCTCCTGCCGGGCTGCAGACCCTCCTGCCGGGCTGCAGATCCTCCTGCCGGGCTGCAGACCCTCCTGCCGGGCTGCAGACCCTCCTGCCGGGCTGCAGACCCTCCTGCCGGTCTACAGCCGCTCCTCTCTGCTGGTAACGACCCGTGAACCTGTGGAGCTTCAGCTGTCAGACAGGAACCAAATACTGGAGGATTTATCTGCGGGAGATCTTTACAAACGTTTATAGTTTAAATTTTTGAGGGAAAAAGATTTAAATTGCAGCGATCAGCTGAAACTCTTCGCTCATTTGTCTCCAAGTATTTATGCAGATCGACTCCATAAAAATGTAAAGTAATGAGCCTGAAAAAGCAACAGCTGAGAATGAACCTGAGAAACATTTATAAATGTTAAAGTTTCAACCGAATGAAAACATATTTTTTATTTTCATTCTAACAAACAGGAATAGTTTCTGTTTAAAAAAAATCAAGCTGAAGAAGTTGAACTTGTGAACCTTCATGTTTCCCTTTAGAAGGAAACTTTTTAAAGGATTCCTGGATGAAAGGATCAGTGGCGGAGCCAGAAAACTGGGGCTGGGGGCAGGGGGGGCACCGACGCCCACTGCTTCAACCTTCACTGATCCAATAGGAACCCGCTAGGTTGAGCACCTCAGGATTTTTAAAATGTATTTATTACTGTTTTCAAAGCTGCGTTTTAAAATATAGAATTCTATAGAGCTGTTCTAAATGAAATTTATTTTAGTTTACACTTGTGTATACAAAATGACAAAAATAAATCTGTCTAAGTCATAAGTAATTATTGGCTTTAATATTCTTATAATAACATTGAAAAATCTAAAAATACAGAGTTTAGCACATTTTCCCAAAGTTAGAGTTGTATTGTAAACTAGATGAGGTTATCTATGTATCCTACAAGTTTGAAGGCAGCACAATGACCTATGGTTTATTCGTTGCTCATTTTATTCTTATTCTAATAATAGAATAGGTGTCATTTGTCATTTAGGCTTTTGGAAATTCCTCAGAAAAGTATTATTTTCAAATCCAATCAATGTGATAATAATCCACCTCTCCTTGGCGACGCTTTTGAATATTTCTCTCTGATTATTTTGCAACTTGCAAACTGAGTATTTTTGGAGCGGTAAGCTCCCCATAGGATCCAATGTAATTCTTCCAGAGTGATAGGAGACTCGTTTTGAGGAAACTTCGGTAGCAGCCCACTGTATGGCTTTCTCTGGTGTCTGTTTTGTAGAATAAATAATCCGCCGACGAGTTATTAATCCGGAAAAGCCGAATCTGTGAATATATTGCCAACTTTACTGCATTTTCACGATGCTGTCTGCATGTCTGCAGCGGAGAGAGAGGAGAGATTCCTTGAGTTATATTTCCCCCCAAATAAATAATGCTCATTATTGTATAAATATTGTTGCTTTCTACAGCGTTCCAGCTCATGCAGCTATTTTCATTGTACAGATCAGTTATCGTCTGATAGCTGCGCTGAAATCATTGCGCCGCTGGCGACACTGATGACGTAGACCTAGTTATATTTAATTACAAATATTATTTTTTCCCCTCCTGCTCTCAGGTAAAAC